TATTATGGGGTGAAATAACACATCCTGGAACATTTCTAAAATAAAATATTAATAATGTGTCAGTACTGTGGTGGTATTTCTAATATTTGGAACTTTCCATAGCATGTGAAGTTATTGCAGTTTACATCTGAAATGTTTATGTCTAAGATGGCCTGAAGGATCGCTTTTAGTTTATGCATTGAAACTCGATAATAATCGCATTGTACATCTTTGTCCTTTCATTTTTGTTTGTGTACGATGCGTAACCATGGCGACGTGGACCATTCACTCTCCCGGAATCCTAAAGAATGCAGAAAGCCTTTGGATTTATTCTGACATCACTGTTCTTGTTCCTTCACTCTGGCCCGGCTGATTCCCTTATTTGGAGCGCCACGGAGCAACGACACCATTACATACTGCAGTTCATGACACTAAAAGTACAAAACCACCTTGCTTAGACATTAAATCCAGCTTTTTTCTGCACGATTCAGAACATTTTGAGGTCAGGTGACGTAAATTTTGTCCTATTATAGCCTACATCTATGGCCCTGTTTCTTTGACGGATAGGTTACACTGGCAGCAGCACAAAGCCTCTTTCATCTTCGTGTAAGTTTAAGTTTTGTTTCCTTCTTGGGAGTAATAGATGCTATACTAAAAGGTTTGGCATGCAGCCCGAAGGTTCCTGCGGCCGGACCCAAGCCTGTGCACAAGCAAACCGGCCCTTCCCTCTCAAGGAATCTTGTGTTCGTTCCACTTAATCACTGAAACTTCTTAAACCTATTATCTATTGAAATGCATTCTCAATTTTAACCTTTTAGGGTACGTTTACACGACAAAAATGTCCTAAAAAGTGCTATATGATTCATTTCAGGCCAGTAGTTGGCGATGAAACACTACGTGCCTATAGACTGAACACATAATACACATGCGCCACTACCATTTTCACAAATTTGCACAAAACGTTTTTGTTGTAGGCCTATACATTACATTATTTTCAAAAACTTGCACTTTGAAACCAGTTTTCAAAAGTTTGTGTTTTCAGGCCCCCAAAATGCCATTGTCTCGGTTTCAGTAGCTCACTGATCTATTCAAGAACATCTGGAATAAAGACATCATCCCTAAAGAGTGGTCCAAATGCCTCATTATCAAGCTTTCCAAGAAGGGCAACCTTCAAAATTGTGACGACTGGCAGGGCCTTAGCCACACCCTCAAACACGATGAGCCAATCACAGTGCGCAGCTAACCCAATAAACTCGGACATTCTCTGCTTCCACGTCCATTAAAATGCATTGCAGTTATTCAGTTTTCATTCGTGTTTTCTTGTAATTTTAAGTATAACATGGTCGAACGGTGTGCGTGGGGTACATGCAGCTCCGACACTAGGTTCTCGAGAGGCTTGACTGAAAGTTCATGAACTTTGAAAAATTATTACCTCGCAAGCAGGGACTTTCTGAGCGGGAAATTCATTTATTCCTGGTTCTTGCAGTCCCTAATTCCTGGGGAAAGTTCCTGTGGTGGAAACACCACTTAAAGGGATAGTTCACTTTGAAATTGATTTTTGATATGTTTTATCTTACCTCAAGGGCATCCAAGATGTAGGTGTCTTTGTTTCCACAGTATTTTCAATTTTGACATTTTTTGGTCAAACCGTTGTTGTCTGTCAGTCATATAATGCAGGTCTATGGTCACCACCTCAAAGAGCATGCACAGAGAAGTCAAAATGAAACATGATTGAATGACTCGTAAATGTAAGTACACATTGATGGCCTAAGACACGAAACGAGCGGTTTGTGTGAGAAAACGAACAGTATTTATATCGTTTTACCTTTTGTAATCTGAGCCATGACAAAATGATTTGACGGCACGGGCGCTTCGGTCTGCGCATGCGCTGGAAGTGATCGCTTGCGCGGCTACGTCACTCTTTGTTTATTTCGGAAGTTTTACCTTTCACTAAACATATTTAGATATACGGGAAACCGCAATGGAAGACGATTTCGGTATATCTAAATATGTTTAGTAAAAGGTAAAACTTCCGAAATCTCCGTGTAAATATTGAGTGACGTCACACGCACGCGATCACTTCCGGCGTAACTTTGAACTGATTCAGTTCGGTTCAGTTGGACAGTATAAAAACCATTATGTCTATGGGAAGTCCCCATAAAACATAAAAACACAACATGTAAATAAAAACACATCCAAATGCATTATGGTAATGTAAATATATAGGCTATAATCTGTGTGTGTACACTGCTTTTTCAAAAATGGCGGGTGCTCAACCTTTTGAGCTGGGCTGGATCCCTAAAAGTCATTCCTAGAACTAAGATCGTTTTCAGTTCCTACCAACCAAAAAGTGGGTATTTCACCATTAGTTCTAGGAACATAAATAGATTCCTCTGGTGTGAAAGCCCCTGTTGACCTCACGCTGAGACAAGAGCGGGCTGGTTTCAGGGAGGGGAGAGGTTATGTACACCAAATTTTTGCTCTAAGAAACATCATCGAGTAGTGTCTGTAGTGGAACATGTTAACTTCATTGACTTCAAAAAGGCTTCTGACAGCCTAGATGATGTAGTTCATATGTCATTTACGCATGCCCACCTACAAGAGAAGACTGACAGTCAACTTTGCCATTAAAATAGGCTCAACATAAACATCACCTATGGTGTGTATCATATACTGTACATAATATTTACTATAACTTGAATGTTGCACATGGGGACATTTAATTTAATATTCAATATTATTGATCTGCCTGCACTGACACCATTAAATGAGAACCGACCTGAGCTGGACCATGACATCACTGTTTTCTCCAGAGCGGCTATATAAAATAACTAAATTAATAACTTTTTTACTACAAAAAGTAAACATCAAGCTGAACGATGACAATATTTTCTTCTGGAAACAAATTTTATTTCTGTAAAGCTGCTGTAAAACAACCTGTATTAAAGCACTATATAAATAAATGTGGACTTGACTTGACTTGGATACAAATATTGATTTACAAACTTAATGATAAAAAAAGTTCACTTCTAACCTAGATTCCTGTTCTGAACACTGGGCTTTCACTCAAATTACTTGAGGTACATCCTGAGATACGGTTCCAGCATTCCTGAAGGAGGTCCCGTGTCTGCCGAACACTTCTTGGCTGCTTTCCCTTCACAATCAGCTCCAAAAAAGGGAGGTTTGGTAAAGAAATCCATATACAATGGCACAGCAAAGCCAACAAAACTTTATTATATTATATTATATTATATTATATTATATTATATTATATTATATTATATTATATTATATTATATTATATTATATTATATTATATTTAGGGCTGTCAAACGATTAATCGTGATTAATCGCATCCAAAATAAAAGTTTGTGTTTACATAATATATAATGCACTTCTGTGTATAATTATTTTGTATATATATAAATACACACACATGCATGTATATTTAAGAAAAAAATATATTATTTATATATAAAATATTTATATTGATATATAATATAAATTATCTATATACAGTATATACGTGAAATATTTCTTAAATAAATACAAGCACGTGTGTGTGTATTTATATATATAACATAATTATACACAGAAGTGCACCCACATTATGTAAACATAAACTTTTATTTTGGATGCGATTAATTGCGATTAATTGTTTGACAGCTCTAATTATATTATATTATATTATATTATATTATATTATATTATATTATATTATATTATATTATATTATATTATATTATATTGTGAGTATTTTGATCTGGTGACTTTGTTCATTCTCTGTTAAGCTTGCCGGCAGCATTTAAAACAGCATGACCTGTTGTGGCAAGTCTACTCAGCTTCAGATAAAAGTTTATATATTTGACATATTTAAAATGTTCGGATGGGGCTTGCATGTTTAAAAAGTTGTTGTATGCTTATGTTGAAATTTTATGTATTTAATTTTTACATTTTTCATAATCTGTCTATAAATGTTTTTATGCCCTTTTAGGGGTATACAATGGCTTTTATGGCTCATAAATGCATTGCAAAATAATGATAATTAAAAGTTCCCCCAAAGCCTTGTGTGTCTTATATTTAACATTAATATGAATTTTAAAATGATGTATGAATAATCAAGTAAACCCGAGTTGATTCAGTCCAGCAAAGGTTAACAGTAAAATATTACATTTACTTTATAAAAAGATTTTATTTAATAAAAAATAAACTATCAATCAGATGACAGGAGTCATGAAGTAGATTGTGTACAACTGTTTTTTTTTTCAGCAAAGTTTTGCTCATATTGATAATTTATAGGCCCTATAAATTAACATAATAAATATTATACAGTAGGCTAAAATATCCATAAATAGGCATTATACTTATTGTTCAACTGAATTTTTAAAAATAATGTTTTGTTTAAGTTATGAGAGAATACTTTTTTTTTTTTTTACAAATGTCGCTAAAATGTAATAATTGTAATTCACATTACATTCTGTCAAATTGTATAATTTGTGTCCTAATAAGATGGAAAATAGCAATAAATACATTTTCTAATGTCTCTTTATGGTCTTGTTCTTTTTGGGGTAATAATTTAATATAGCATAATGTAATGTAGTGCAATATAATGCAATATAATATAATGTAATGTAATCTAATGTAATGTAGTATAATGTAATATAATATAATGTAATATAACATAATGTAATGTAGTGCAATATAATGCAATATATAATATAATATAACATAATATAAAATAATATAATATTATATAATGTACTGTAATATAATATATCATAATATAATATAATATAATATAATATAATATAATATAATATAATATAATATAATATAATATAATATAATATAATATAATATAATATAATATAATATAATATAATATAATGAAACCCCCTTTTCAGGCTGAAGTGTTTAAATAACTTGTTTTGGCACAAGAACGAGCGCGCGCCTTGATTGGTCAGCACAGAACCACGTGACAAGGGAGTCACGCGCTTTCCAGGAACCCGTCAGGAAGAAGATAAACAAAACAAACCCGAGAGAGGAAGACGGCGTGGATTGAGAAGAAATGACATTAAGTTTTCATACAGACGATTAAATTTGGGAATTACTTCCATTTTTTCTAATAAATGGGTTGCTTAAAGGTGAGTCATCTTTTTTAACTATGCCAACGCCGCGAAGTGTGCAAGAATATTTGTTTAATGATGATAAAAACAGTGTGTCTTGTAGTTAGCTCTCTGGCTAAGTTATGCTAGGAGAGGGGAGGGACGCGGAGGCCATAGTGTTGAAGCAGCGCTAGTTCCTCTAACCCGCTCTCGTCTGTTTATCTCACTGGATTCAGTGCGATATTTTATCGTGTTTCGCTGCTTGAGGTGTCCGTTTGTCCTTTCAGATCAATATTTTTCCCGTGTTTGCTTAGTTGGCCAGTCATTGGTGCTGAGTAAGGGCAGGAGGTGTTGGTTCGCTTTCAGTTACACAAGAAGAACTTCTAGAACATTGCAGGACCCCAGAGTTTTCTTTTAGTGTACAAACCCAGCCCAGATATCGACTAATAAGATGATAATATAAATTAGATGCATTAAATAAAGCTTCTCCGAATCGGAAAATCAGTGATTTGCTAGATTTTTTGTATTCATAGATTCTTTTACGGAATAGTCTTACTATAAGTCTGCAAGGGTACACGCCCCCATCGTGCACGATGCTAAGCGAAATGACAAAACACGATAGTTTGTGCGTTGTCTAGAACGTTTTTGGGACATGGACACCTACCCCAGCTGATATTAATGTGTTTTGATCGTGCACCAAAAAAAAAAAAAAAAAAAAAAAAAAAAAAAACCCGCATTAAAATGCAATTTCTGGTCAGTTTGAACGAGTCGTTTAATCTCAAGTTATTTTGCATGCAGTCTTGGTAAGGGCTCAAAATTGAGCGTTTATCTGCAAACTAAAAGTTTGCGGAAATAATGTTTTGCATTCCATCTGTTTACGTAACGTGTGGAGGCCTGCGATATTGTTTGTTGCTTGTCGAGTCAACCGAGCTTTGTGGGGCGGGTCTTGATTGACTGCGAATTGGTGCAATCATTAATACGCGGAGGCGGGTTCTGAGTTTGCTCACAGCCAATCAGAACGCGCCGTTGCGTGGGTGTTGGCGCAGTTTCGCAGCGGGTTAGGTTGACGCTATTTGTTTTTGAAGGGTGCCATGTTGAGTTAAGGGTGTTGTTGTGAAGTGTTAGTAGGTCAGAATAAAGTAGCATCTCGCTCACAACGCTAATCTTTAAAGCAACATTCACTTTGTTTAATGCAGTTTTTGCATGTGTTAAATCTGTGAAGTGTACAAATATGTGCAGTCAAGAGAGTAGGTCATTATTTCTTCATGTAAACATTGCAGGGGTGGTCACCTATAAGAGGGATAGCATTACATCTACTTGCTATATATTCAGGTTTTTATTAAGAGCCCATGTGTAGCCTGATGAGCAGACAAGAAAGTAAGCATGCACTGAATTTTGAGTGCAATGTCATGGCAAAAGGGTTTGACTGTGACTTCACCCACAGGCCTGTACTGATAGGAGATGAACATGTGACTTTTTTGCCATGTAATATTAAAGTGCTAATAATCAGCTATGAAACTGAGCTTGTATTTCCCCTAAAGAGTGTTCTCGTCCTAGATTGAATAAGTAAACGATTAGGCCTATGTGTTTTACCCAACCTAAGGTTAAAATTTGTGACCTTCTCCAGTCTTTAAAAAATAAAATAATCCCATGCAGTGCAACTCGTTCCGTATTCGAAGTGTCACGAAGGCATACAGTAGTTATTTAATTAATTATCAAAGAAACATTATTTTAAATTTCAGTGTTTCTGTACATTGGTGCTTCACCAATGTCAATTATTCAAAAATTCTCCATTTGTATGAAATTAAAGTTTATACGTTTAGTATGACGTGGAGTAAATGATATATTTTATTTTATAATTATACAGTCAGTCAGTAGTTTAAAGCAATAATCCACAACCTAATTAAAATGTGCAGAGAGCTTCATTTGTCCTTGAGTACAAACCTGAGAAGCATAGGCATTAGCCTGCACGTAAGGAGTGTGTGTTGCTGTCTCAGCGAGCAGAGACCTCTGACATTTGCAGAATAGTCTGTGCATTTGAAGCCTGGACTGCAAAATGCAAGCTTGTTTGTAATTAGCTCAGACTGTCATTTTCAGGCACAAACAGACATTGGAGCTAATAAGACAAGTCTAAACATCAGCCTATGCAAGATTGTCTCCAGTCATACTTCCTGAGTATTAGCCACAGTGTGTGTCTGTACTCTGTAGATTTAGTGCAAAGGCCACCAGTTTGATCAAAGCACGCCTACGCATAAGATTCTTCAGCTTGTGCATAACACAGTGACGACCTGCATGTGCAAACTGCAGAAAACTAGTATGTAAAAAAAGTGTTTTAGTTTATGGACATTGGGGTGACCAAAATCTTATATCATGATATGAGTAATTTATTACACGATAATGGTATCACAATATATTGCTTGCTTGGGTTAAATAAGGTTTTTATGATATTACAAGTTTGGATACCATTTGAAGTTTCATAATTCTTGTCACAATTTTCAATATCAAAAAACTAAAAAAAAAGACTAACAAGCTTACTGAAGATAAGTAAACTGTGAAAAAGATTAGTAGATTACGAACATAGAGGGGGAGAAAAGAACAAAGACTCAATGAAAAACTTCAAGCATTAGAAATAAATATTTCATAAATGAGTTATCAAATGTATTATAAAACACTGCATTGCCTTCATGGTGTGAGTAAATATATACATTTTCTAAAGTTGCAACAAGAGAAAAGTGAAGAGCAGTATGAGATTAAAAAAAAACAAAAAAAAACTTTTTTGTTGTTCGATTAACATTAAAGTCCCCGTGAAATCAAAATTGAACAAGTCCCCGTGAAATCAAAATTGAACCTATTTACTTTGTTAGCGCATATTACTAATCTTGTGGTGAACAATTAATCCGTGCAAGTGAATATATATTAAAAAAATGTCTTACCTTAGTAATCTTTAATCAAAATCTGAAAAGTTACTTCCGGTCTGGAACGGTTTCTTTTTCTGATGACGTAGGTTTCACAGTTTGGGTGGGGAAACGCTTAACCACTCCCCTGAAACCGTTAGTTTGCTATGAGCGACAAATGGAGAGGAGGAGCGCTAGAGTAAAACCCTGCCCTCTGTTCAATATTCCGTTTCACTTGGAAATACGTCACAGCACTGGAGAAAAATCGTTTGCAACTTCCGGTTCACGGGGACTTTAATAACACAGACAGCAACATTGACAGACACAATTATGCTGTTGTCACTTTAATATTGATGGTGAAAAAAAGCTTTGTGAAGCACCGAGGCTTTCTCCTCAACTGTATTCATGTGTTCATTACTCAAAGCTTTTCAACATGGTCCACACTAGCGACATCTTGTGGTCAAAAGGTGTAAAATCTGCCTTTTGCGTCCCAGACGACCCAGCCGTTCTTCATTGTTTTAAATAATAATTCAGTTTGTGTTGCGAAAACCATATAACGCAATGCAAATATTGAATATACATAGTGTTGTCAAAATATTCGATACCCAGTCGGTACTAAAAAATGTTAAACATCACGGTACCAAGTATCGTAGGTACCAAGTACCCGGTCAAACCCGGTTCTGGATGCACATGCACAAAGGGCGTTAAGGTGAGTCCTCTTCATATAAGCGCTCAGACATGGCGACCAACGGCGCTGCTGATGTGTGTCTGTGTATATTCAACTGCAAAAAGACTATTTAAATATGAACCCTGCATGTTCTGCTTGTCTCTTTGTGAATGAACGGCACAGACGCGCGGTTTCATTTAACGTTACCACACACACACACGCACACACTGAAGCACGAGTGACACTGGCGCTGTTTTCAGTCTCTGCTACCTCATGATATGATGACATGATTCATGATTCCATCCATCTCCGAGTTACTTCATTAGCATTTTACCGTTTCATTTGAGAATAACTATGATCATATCATACACGCTCAGATACTCAATGGTCTTCACGGCAACCCGTCAAAATGAAAGTTTGGTTTAAAGAAATTGACAGAAATAATTATATTAGGCTACTGTACAATAGATTTAACTACGTCTCCATTAATTAAAAATACTACTACTAATATGAATAATAATGTTTGCGTAGAAGGTTGCTTATTTTTCACTTTTTTGAACAACTGATTTTGCTGTGGTACCCAAATTGGTACCGAAACCGTAAAATTGTAATGGTATCGGTACCGACTACTGGAATTTTGGTACCGTGACATCCCTATATATACATAATAGTCTTTCAGGTGTCTTTACTTGGAAAATGTATCAATAAATGTGAATAAATGTATGAAAAATAATAAATTTACAAATCAACAAATTAGCTATTGTGTAGGCTACTTTAGTGTTGTACAGTAGCCCACTGTAGCAGTTTTCTGCTTCGATCACAAACTTTTGCCTAATGTCCTAAACATAGACACGGCTCATGTAGGAATATCTGATCAAAATAAATGAATATTTTTGTGGAATGGTCAGTTTGAAGTACTTGTGAGCTGGGGATTAATACTGAAATTGAAAATGCACAAAACTACACATGTAAATATTCATATTATGATTTATTCTTATCAAAGAAGCAAATGACACTTGAGCTGCGTTCGCTCAATTTCTGAATCCGAATATGAAGCAGTCACGTGGTTGTGCGCGAAAACAAAGCTTTGGATGTCACAGATCACGTGGATATGGCAAAACAAATCGGTGTGTAGCTCCACAGTTGTTTTACTGTTTTTGTTAGTTTGTCCTGTCTTTAGTTATTCCTCTCAGTTTCACCAGGGACGAACTGCTGAACATTCGGCTGTACACACCACACACTGGTTTTCATTATTCGGACTGTGGCCGGCAGGGCGGGGCTGAGAGCCACGAGAACGGAGCGAGGCCGTGGTTGCGAGTGATAATTGCGTCACCTGCGCGCCACACCGTCTCGAGTCTTACGGAGGAGGTCTGGAAGGATAAAAGAAGGAGTGACAACTGTGCAAGATATGAGAGGATCAGGCCTGGACTTTACTTTGTGTTTTGTTTATGTTTGTGCGGCAGTTGTCCCTGAGGGTC